CTCTCTCTCTCTCTCTCTCTCTCTCTCTCTCTCTCTCTCTCTCTCTCTCTCTCTCTCTCTCTCACGCACACACGCACATACACACACACCTTCCTTCCTTCCTTCTTCCACTGCCATGACTGGCTATGTGGGCCCCATACGGGGCAGACCAGGAGACGTGTTGTCCACCGGGTGGGGAACGCCATACTCAGCGCGCGCGGGCCGCGCGAACAGCGTTACACTTGTGCCTCGCAATATCCTGCACACAATATACACACACACACACACACACACACACACACACACACACACACACACAGTAAGCTCTCAGTCCTGTACATGTACTTCCGAAGTACGATTTTTCGTGCCAAAATCCATGGAGGCGCTACGGATATTTTATACGTCGTTTTCGAGCAGTGAAAAGTTCCGGGATACGGAACTTATGTGTTTGCCGTCATTGCCTAGGTTACGATCGCAAACACGTCACATTCCCGCGCTATGCCTTTTTATTTTGAAAATTTGTACCGAAATCAAAACTTCCCGCGGAAAATCGATGTTTGTCGTACCAAATTTGTACCCGAAAAATCTTTCAGCACCCGATGACGCAAAATCTCCATACGAAACATGGTTCGTATGAAAGCCAGTCCACACGGATTCTCCGTGCCGAAAAATCGTATGGAGCACGCCTGGAAAAAATCCGTAGCGCCCATACGGATTTTGGCACGGAAAATCGTCCCCGGAACCTCTCTAATATGAGTTCTGCCTTTTGTGATCCATCTCCTAGCAATATCTATTGTTGTTGTTGTTGTTGTTGTTGTTGTTGTTGTTGTTGTTGTTGTTGTTGTTGTTGCTGCTGCTGCTGCTGCTGCTGCTGCTGCTGCTGCTGCTGCTGCTGTTGTTGTTGTTGTTGTTGTTGCTGCTGTTTCTGTTGTTGTTGTTGTTACTGCTGTTGCTGTTGTTGTTACTGCTGTTGTTGTTACTGCTGTCATTGTGCAGGCGTATTTCGGTGGTGAGGCGCAATGTGTAATACAAGCCGCAATGTCCAACGACTATGATCCAACTGAACTTGTGTGTGGCGCTTGTTCCAATGTTGAAGGAGCACAGGTCAGTGACGACTAGCGTAACAATCACCATCCCTACTGCTGCTGTTGCTGCTGTTGTTACTGTTGCTGCTGTTGCTGGTCTGGCTTTGTTCTCTCATTCGAAATCAGCGTTAGTGTATTCGTGGATGTTCTCTGATCGGAGCGCCCACGTTTGTTGTGAACCGCCCACCTCCTATGGTACCTTTGCAATACCCCCTTGTTTTCTCTCTATAACACTACAGTGTCTGACATATGGAATTATGGACATGTTGGTGTGGTTTTGTGTGTGTGTGTGTGTGTGTGTGTGTGTGTGTGTGTGTGTGTGTGTGTGTGTGTGTTCCATATGGTGCAGTGGTATGTGCAGCGATTTCCAATCGATAGGTTGCGGGTTCGATTCCCGATGATTATGGTCACACACGTCTTTCTTCTCTTTCTCAAACTCTTCCTGACTTTTCTTTCATTCTCCTGGGTGGTTACCAACAGCCAGTGCATGCCGGAGTATGTGGTGTGATGTGTATGCGGGAAAAAATAAATAAATAAATAAAAAAGACCAAAAAGTAGGGATTCACTGGCCAGAAAAAGCCACTTCATAGCTGTGTGGTGTAGACCAGGCTGAATAGTGGGCCTTGCAAGCTGTTGAATGGTGCAATCCCAGCACAAGCTGCTATGGCTTCTGCTGTAGCATCGCTATCATCGCCTCCGGCGATGGGCGTCCAATGGTGTGTGGGTGGGTGGGTGGGTGTGTGGGTGGGTGTGACTGTGTGTGTGTGACTGTGTTTGTGTTTGTGTTCTAGATTTGCCCAAAGCACGGCATAGACTTCTTGGAGTACAAGTGTCGGTACTGTTGCTCCGTGGCGGTGTACTTCTGCTTTGGCTCGACACATTTCTGCACACCGTGCCATGACGATTTCCAACGCCTTGGTAACATGGACAAGAGTCTGCTGCCATCATGTCCGGTCGGCCCGACCGCCGTGCCTCTTGATGTAACCGAGTGTCCACTGCGCGTTGCTCATCCGCCGACGGGCGAGGAATTTGCTTTGGGATGCGGCGTGTGTCGCAATGCGCAAACCTTCTGAGCATTCCAGCAAGTTGACTTGTCCGCAGGAACACTCCAACAGAATCGTATCGCTACCGCTCTTTTTGTTCCAGTAACTGCTTCGTGGTTGCCTGTTTTGTTGCTATGGCTTTAAATAAATTAATGAATAGATTGTCTTGCTTTGTGGCATGAACTGGATATTTTCCCCGTCTCTCTGTCTCTATATCTGAACTGTGACTTCACCGAGACATCCTAGATTAACTTTAGCCTTTGGTAGTGTGGTGTTAGACGTGAGCCGTTGCTGCCTCTTTAGCCTTTGGTAGTGTGGTGTTAGACGTGAGCCTTTGCTGCCTTTTTCCGTTCCTTTTGTTTTGCTGTGTGCTTTTCAACTTCAGTCTTCATTTAGCCTTTGGTAGTGTGGTGTTAGACGTGAGCCGTTGCTGCCTCTTTAGCATTTGGTAGTGTGGTGTTAGACGTGAGCCTTTGCTGCCTTTTTCCTTTCCTTTTGTTTTGCTGTGGGCAGTTTTCAACTTCAGTCTTCAACGAATCGTTGTCTTGTCTTGTCGTACCGTTTATTTCTACTCATTGTCCTTATTATGTCATGTGGTATTACCAATCACAAAATCAGATCTTGTTTTGCACCAGCTTCCAAATTTTCAGTTGTGCATCTGCTCGCTTATTCTTTTTATAGCACCGATGTGCAGCACCGATGTGCAGCTAAGTCTTGTACTACTTGCAGTCGAATTGCATGCCTTTACTTTTATCAATGGCCAGTGAGAGTGTTTGCTTTTCTCTTACCCCAGGGTGGTATTTTTTCTGTTGGTGCCCTTCTGGTTTTGCTAGAGGTCTTGTGCAGAGTCTTGCTTTTTTTCGTCTTCTTATTTTCGCCTTCGCTACCAGCCGGCCTTGGCAGCTCTCGGCATTTCTTGCTGTATTTTTGTTGTCGCCATTCGCCATAGTTTCATATGCTAGAGACATGCTCTTGTTCTTGTCCTTTATAGTATACTACAATGCCTACTTACTTCATACTGACTTGGTGCTTCAGTCGTGTCACTTTCCGTCTACAATTGTAGACGTACAGCAAGTACTTGATGTCGATGTTTCCTCCCAAGCCGCAGTAGACAATGCTGCTAGCAGCGTGATAGTGTACTCCGCGGCTACGGAACTGTACAGTGCTTTACAATGGTTTATAGGAAACGTCCAAAGTAAAGCGGGGAATGTGTGCTACCGGTCTACAAGAAGGCTTCACGGTCCAGCGAGAAGAACTACCGACCAGTCTCACTGCTGTCCATCCGCTCAAAGGTGACAGAATCCATTATCAATTGCCAACTGATGAACTTCTTTTAAAGTTAGTTCTTGGCAGGGAGTCCTATACCGGTGGTATATACGACTCCCTGGTTCTTGGTATAGAGTCTATCATGGTCCATGGTCTACATCTAGGGCCTAGAGTTCCAATTGTCACTCTTTCAGGCACGTAGCACCGCTGGCATGGCGGTGGTCCAGGTGGTCCGGGGGGATGTCCCCCCCCGTAATTCTTTTGAAATTAGGGTGCAAAATCCTGCATTCTGGGCACTTTTAGCATTGTTTTACTATGGTGGTCGTGGTCGGGCGAAAAAGTGATCCGGCCAAAGCCGGAGCGGCTGCTACGCCCCTGTCTTTGACTTTCCGAGGAGTTCCGTTTTTCTGAAGAGGTGGCTTATTGGCCTCTTCAGAAATACGAAGCTCCTCGAAACTCCACAACCTCACCCGATGGGAGAGGTGGATTAGTTTCGAAGAGTTTGGAATAGCTACGTCACGTATACGCGTACTACGTGGAGATGCCACGGTCGATCTGATCGGACGTCATCAAATGGGTGGGGGGCCGGGGGGGGAGACAAAGCGAAGCGAAGCTCAACCGATGACACTATCATCGCCATGACAATTCCACTGAAAAACTCTAAAATGATAGAAACCGTTCTAGTAATGGGACACTTCAACTAATATCTTTATAACATTTGTTTGAACAGTTGATGAAGGTTCTCTGTCCCCGGGGAAAATTGCGGAAAAAAATCGCAAAAAACGCGGGGAAAAATGCGGCATAATATGGCATAATTTGCGGTGAATTTGCGGTAAATATGCGGTAAATATGCAGTGAATAATATTGATGTGCGGTGAGTATGTAGTGAAATCAATCAGTTACAAGTCTCTGGTGTAAGCACTCGTCATATTTGAGTAAAAAGCCGCCACGATGAGACGTTGCTGACCGAACAGTGCACTGTGTGTACGTTTAGTGCAACAAAAAAGTTCAAAAACGCGGGAAAATCGCGGAAAACGCGGTCTTTTAAAAAATCGCAAAAAAACGCGGAAAAAAACGCGGCCGCGGAATCGCAATTTTCCCCGGGGACAGGTTCAAGATGAACGCGCCCATAGTCTGGGCTCTGGGGCCAGTGGGGTAAGCCACAGATACATGTATAGCCTCCAAGCACTGCACTGGCGCATGGCGGGAAAATCCCTGGCCGAGTAACACAGACGTAGACCTACGTAATAATAAATCTTTATTTCAGGATTACACACACACACACCTGTCCTGTCCGGCCTGTAGAGTAGGCCCAGAAAGATCCTGCCGGCAATTCTTTCGGCAAAATATCGAAGAATTGAAAGAGCGGAAATTGCCGGCAAAATCGGAGCAAAATATCGAGATGTTGGTTAAAATCGATGCCTGCTATTTGGATTTCCTTGGTTCAGCAGGATACACTGCCCAGGACGAGATCATGTCACCGAAATATCACTGGGATTCACCGTGGATCCACATGATTTTGGAAGAACTCATGGACACATGCGTGGAAGTCCGTGTTGAGAAACCGACCCTGCGATTTTATGAAAGGTTGTACGGGAATTGGATAAAATACACGTTTTTCCGGAGCAAAATGGAGCAAAATATCGAGATTCTCGTGCCAGGCTCGGCAAAATATCGAAGATTTCGCAGCAACATTTTGCGGCAAAATATCGAGGCGATCGCGCGAGCGGAGCAGAATCTGTCTGGGCCTACTGTAGAGTCACTGCCGCAAAATGGTCACGTGATCCCATCACTGGGAAACTAATAGGGCTTGAAAGTGCTACGTCACAGCATAGCAACAATTTCAAAAATTCAAAAACTGGATCCACTTGGATCCAGTTTTTGTATGGATCCAAGCACATTTCAAGCGGTCTTACCCACAGCATGGTGATGTAGCCAGTGAAACTGACTGATTTGGCTACTGGGGGCGGGGTTACAACTGGTGGCGAAATAAAAGTCACACCTGCATGCGACATGAGTGGGTTGCTATGCACCCACATACTTAGGCAATAGCAAAGTCACACCTAGTGGATCCAAAAATAGAAATCTGATGTCAACTTACTACTCCCTGGCCGTTTTGACGTCATCACTTTCAAGCCCTATTACTTGAGCAGAGAGAGAGAGAGAGAGGACACGACGCTCGATGACGCTCCAGGTGCACGGGTAGTCGCATCCGCTTGCCGCATATGCACACGTGCTGGAAGGCTGAGCGCTCCTCTGCTGTTGGTCTATGCGCCACCCTTGAACAGCGATGCCTGCCCCGTCCCCAGACACCGCGAAAGCAGCGACCACACCTGTACATTACAATCATGACTATAGTAGTCGCACGTCAGATCATGTACGTACAGTCATGTGTGTGTGTGTGTGTGTGTGTGTGTGTGCCTGACAATGCGCCTGAGCCTTCACAATGCGCGGCACAACATCCCTCCGCCGGTGCCGACGCTCCGGTAGCTCCAGGTGGCACTGTGGCATCCACCGTTGAGGCACACACATGCCGGACCAAGCCACCACCCACACCGCCCGCACTGACTGGCGCCCCGCTGCTCAGACACAGGCCGCGCACGCTCCTCCAGACACTTATGCCGAGCCATGTCCGAGTCCTTTCCGTGCGGAGGCTCAGGCGCATTGTCAGGCACACACACACACGCACATGACTGTACGTACATGATCTGACGTCTCCCCCTGATCACCGGGGTACTTCCCTAACCATGCTAACATGGCTCGACTTTCGAAATGACGATATGTGTCAGCTACCGCCGGATTTAGCGCTTCGGCTCCGAGTCCTATTGTGTTTTTCTGAACATACCAGTATTTTTCTCTTTGATGGTCAAAACTGCGACTACTAGTACCAAGAGTCCATAACCCAAGATTAAGAGTATGCAACTGTGATTATGGGTGCATGCGTGGCGCGCTGCCTTCATCACGCTCTGAAAGCATGCATTCAAACTCTCAATTTCTCGCACGAGCCCATCCGTTTTTGCTCGATTCGTTCCAGTACCTACACAATCTCTGAATTCTGGCGCGTGAACTCCAGTTCCGTACGAAAGTTCATTTCAAACTAGAGGGAAAGTGCGGTGTTTGATTTTCCGCAGTGCGCGGACTGCTGCTGAATGATGTAATGAAGGCAGCGCGCCGCGCGGTTGGCCCATAGAAAAGAGATCACAGTTGTATACTCTTGGGTTATGGACTCTTGCTATAGTACCGTAAAGTACCGCCAGAGCGCCCCGTCTCGCGAGAGCGCCCCCACCTTGATTTTACAGCCAGAGAAAGGAAAATCGTATGGCAGATCAGCAGTGCAAGGAAGTTTGTATGATGTAAGAATCTTAGTGTACTAAGGTCACACTTGGCAGGTTTTTGTGTGGAGCTTGTGTCCGCTCGAAGGCACGGATTGACTGCAAAACGTGCTATATGTGTACAAGGTTCATGTCGTATGACCTACAGAAGGCAGACCACCTCCACAATACGACCACAAAAGGATGAGATGGTCACAGGTGGGGCGCTCTGCAGCTGATCTGGCGGTACTTTACGGTACTACTACCGTAAAGTACCGCCAGAGCGCCCCGTCTCGCGAGAGCGCCCCGCCTTGATTTTACAGCCAGAGAAAGGAAAATCGTATGGCAGAGTGCAACGAAGTTTGTACGATGTGAGAATCTTAGTGTACTAAGGTCAGACTTGGCAGGTTTTGTGTGGAGCTTGTGTCCGCTGGAAGGTTCGAATTGACTGCAAAACGTGCAATATGAGTACAAGGTTCATGTCGTATGACCTACAGACAGCAGACCACCTCCACAATACGACCACGAAAGGATGAGATGGTGGGGCGCTCTGGCGGTACTTTACGGTAGTCATGAATGCTTGTGACCGCTTCTCAGTGCTCCATACCAGGAAGTAGTACAATACCTACTCCCTGCTCCATACGAGTGTTTTCTCCTCATTCTCTGCATCCTTTCCCCCAGGAGCCTCGTCCATTTAGCGGCTCAAATGCTTGAGCTCCGGAAAGCGGAAAATAGCTCGTCGTCCATTAGCGACTCTAATAGTACCTGGTCTGAAGTGTCGCAGTCTAGCAACTATGATTTTTTTCCAGGAGGGTAAGGGTTGCAAACCCAAGGGGACCGACCGACCCTAAGCTTCGTCTATCAAACAAAACAATTGCCCTAAAAAATGGAAGAGGAAACGAGCTGGTCTGAGCGCGCTACTTTTCAAAAAATAGAAACTGAAAGCCTGCAAAGTCAAAGCATTCTTCTAAGTTCTAGCTAGCGCGTTTGTGTATGTCACGAGCGCTAGCGCGCTAGTCGCAGCAAACGCTCGCCGGCCAGAGTTAGCGTGCTGTTTGCCGCACGCGGCACCTGGATGGATCACGTGATCCAAGCTGACAAAAAAGGTCCGATGGTTGAGCCACAAGCGTCATGAATTATGTACTGTACTCGACTTTAGTACCACTACCATGACTACAGACTTACACTTTGTTTTGGTCAGGTGGTTCGTCACCTGTTTCCGCGGTTGCCGGGCCTCATATTTGCGTAGGAGCCAAGCCCAAGGTCAAAAGTATGAAATGCATCTACGCTAAGTAAATGACCTATCAGATACTCGCTGACTCCGAACAACAGGAAACCGAGCCAGACAAACACTGAGTCTGTATTTGGTACCGGTCTGGACCCCACCGCTAGGCCGCTGCGAACACAGGCTACAGTTCCTGCGCGTGGAAGTGAAACAGGTAGCTCGACCAGGCTGCCGCGGTGGTTCAAGGGCCGGCCTACGCTATAGCGTTAGTGACGTGGCCACGTGGGTAGCGCTCGCAGCCATGACTAGAAACTAGAGTAGAATCTCGCTGCTACTGACTAAAACTTTCTTAGTCTTTGCTCATCTCGCCAAGAGCTAACTATTAGTCAAGACAGAGCAGTCTTGCTATTAGTGTACTCACTGCTTCTTTTTCATCTGGCCAAGAACCAGACGTTCAGGGCCAGAGCTACTGTCCCTCGCTACTACTACTAGCGCTACAGTACACGAGCAGTGCCAGCGTCCTACTTCGATCGTCTCTGCGTGCAGATAGGAATATGCTTGGTACTCAGGTGAGGCTAACTTACAAGCTGAATCGTACATTGCATTTTCAAGTGAGGTTTAGCATAACCCATTCGCTGCATCCATGTATTGTTCCCGGTTCTAGTTCGGCTTCCAAGCAGGACTTGAACCAGTCACCTGGTAGATCTACCGTATCTGTTTCTTAGACCATCCCACTATGTCTATGCCTTCCTGGGTGAACTTCCTGCCTCAGGCTAACTGAGCCTCACTGGGTCAAGCGAACCGTGAATCATTTTTTAGCACAACAATAATAATATTATTTCAACAATATTTCGTCAATAACAATTCATAAGGGGCCGTCCGTAAATATCGATATATTTTTCAAGACGATATTTGTATTTGATATTAATTTTGTATATTTGTTGTTATCTCCGGAGCTCCCCTCAAAACGAACATACACACGTTTATGCAGAGGGTCGATATTTTTTAATGAAGTACAATCTCCTCATGAAAAGTGACCAACTGGCAACAGCAACTCTGAATTCACCATACGCCTATGTTTACATTGCCAGTCTGTCAACTTTGTCATGGCTGTATTCTTGGTGTTGACTTTCACTTTCTGTAGGTCATCAACTACACGTTTGCCCAGTGTCCATCCGGATCTACTGATCGATATTTTTTTTCAAAAGGACGAGACGAACAGGGACCAAACCGGGCCCCTTCCCCCCCCCCCCCCCTCCCCCAAACGAACCAATATCTTCTCTAAAAAAATATAGATATTATTGGACGACCCCTAAGAGAGCGCTGGTCCTTTTCTTTACATTAAATTAATCAGTGGCTCTTCATTTTGAGTCAATGTTAGCTAGGTGCATATTACACACTGCATGCACTGTGCACTAGGCCGTACTCGACAGCAAAAAATGGTATGAAAACAACTATTATTGTTCGGCACTTCGGGCGATTTTTTCAAAACCATAAAATGTTCGTATTTCTTTCTTGTATCCGATTCAGATAGGTTTCTCTTGCTGTTGCTGGTTCTTCCGAGCAATCTCCGCTTGTTTTTGCTTCAGGAGCTTCATGCGAGAATCCTGGATGGCTTTACGATGAGCCTTGAAAGCCTGGCAAACCTCAGGTGCAGCACACACCGCTGAGCTTAGCAGTGCCTCTTTCTCTTCATCAGATTTGTGCCTTAGCCACTGGGAGATCTGATGGTTGGAAAACATCAGCAAGCGATCTAGGCAACCGTCTGGATATTGGGCTTCTTGAGAAGGTAGCGATCCAGCTTCCCAAAACCGCTCTCACAGATTGCGTTCGTCTTCCTCACAGATGCCGTCTTAGTGGTAGTCTGCATGCCGGGTGGCTGGTGAAATGTACCACCAGGAAGGTGATCGCACAGTAGCCAGGTGGCACATAATGCAAAGCCAGCAAACAGTACTTGCAGGATCTCGCATATCAAGGCATCATTCTCCTGTGGCTCAATCATCTCGTTCAGAACAACATCTGTGAGTGAGATCTATCGGGACACTAGTAAAGGGTCGAGAACTTCCTTCTAAAACATCTGCCGAGTCTTGTGCCCACTCTCTTCCATTTTCTTGACGAGTTCAGTGTAGATCAGACTCATATCATTATGGCCTTGTCCTTGTCCTCCACGACAGCCCACAGTGGTGCGACTAAAAGCTTGCAAATGAGCCCAAGAGCCCGGCACCCAGCATCCAGCTCAGGAACACACGAGTCAGCGTTCACGGCCTTCAAAATCCGGTTCAGTACCTCACCCTGGACGTCCTCAAGGAAGGGCACCATCACTTCATGTAGATATGAAATACCAGCTCCATTGAAGAAAATGACGTAATTTATTATTTCTGTTGCCACGGTATTCACAAAGCGGAGACTTGATGTTGGAATTCTGAAGTAAGGGTTTGAAATCTACCATACAACCAGCTGCCGGACTCATCGCCATGCTCCTCAAAGGCTTTGGAGGCTGAATAAACAAGGCGGTTGATGCGGCAGCTATGACTGGGCGGCTGGCAAATGCTCCAGGAAGGTTGCTGGCACCAATCTTAGTACAGTAGGTATCGGTTATAGCGTGGGTGTTTGAAAAACGACATTTGATTCTTATTGCCGATATTTCTTACACACGATAAATCACGTGTGACATACAGGTATCATAATTATAATTACGCGCGCACGTTTGGCATGTGGACACATACAATAATGTAGGTCTACACATGATACACACAGATCAGACTCGCGGTCGTGCTAGGCGACTGCGGAGCAGCAGATACGAGAGAAGTCGGAAGAAAGAGTCCGACTGGACAGAAAAAGTGATTCTCCGATGCTCAGTTGGACATAACTCTCTTTTTGTGTTGAATATTATTGTATTGAGTATGCACAGAGCACAGATGTTATTACTACAGGCGATACACTTTGCACTAATCTGGCATATTTTGCTACACAAAATCCATTCTTAGGGCCGATATATTCTACTATGCGATATTACTGCTTGTAAGAATAAATATACACATAAAATATGTGTTATGATTATGAAAAATTGAGTGTTCATTCTTGTAGGCAGTATATTCTTGTATCCGACCACACTATAACCGATATGCACTGTACCTTCAAAATTGGCTTCTTCCCATTTTTTAAGGATCCCATCAGATTGGTCAGCCAGGCCAATGATATAATGGAGACTACAGAAAAATAATTGAGTGCTGACACTTGCTTCTGTTGGTCTTCCGAGAGGTTAGCCCAGTCATGTTGCACATTGGGGAGTATCTCTGCTTGATAATCCTGCAAAAGATCATTTAAGTTTTTCTGGACAGTACATCGATCGCTCATAGTATTCTTGACATTTGCGAGGATGCGATCACCTGCGCTGGTGCCACCTTCAGTAGTACCGGCTATCTTGGACACCGTGATCAGCCAGAACTGGCAGTTTTAAGCATTTCGAGAGTGTGGACTGCATTGCCTCGCTCCATGTCCACCATCCCAAGACTGTACACATGCTGCTGGCTTGTGCAAATCTGGTAAGCACCGTACTTGCTGCCATGCTTACTGGTACCGTCGCTGTGGAGTGTCGTAAACTGCTCCTCTGCTAACTCCTCTGCTATTTGGAGGCTAGCCAAACCTTTTAACTCCACAAGCATCTGGGAAAGAAGGTCATGAGACGGTAGTCTTTCCGCAGACATGCCAACCATTGTCAGTACGCTGTTGATCACCTTTCTTATATTGAAAATGCCAACATTGCTCGACAGCAGCTCAAGACAGCATTGACACACTGCTGGCAAGTAATTGCCATCAACAATCGTTTCAAACTGAATGATACTGCTGCAGTATCAATGGCGTCTGCTTGAAGAGAGGTAATTTCTTTCCGAAGGGCAGCATTTTCCTTGTGTGAAGCTGTCAAACGAGAAGACAGTTCATCAACTTCATCTTGATGATCACTCACGGAAGCATCAGCTTTGCTTTTCAGCTCAGAAACTGTCTCTGCCGAAGCCGGTTTTGCAGAATCTGTCGACTTTCCTTTGGTTCTGCTGTCACACTTTCAAGCTCCTCCTCCAAGTCTTGTGACTGTCTCTATCTTCGACTAATCTTCTTAAGTTACAAGCATTGCGGACCTGACCTCGGTAATCTCATGCATGCATTATTATGTAGAAGTTAGTATGTACTTGTAGAAGTACAGGTTAGAGTAGCAGCAGTACTGTAGGAGGAAAGCGTGCTACAGTTGCTTCATTGAATCAAGGTTGCAGCCAAAGCCACGTATAGCTTCGCGCTGCACCCTCCTTCACGGTTTGGACACCCCCTTTCAAAATCGAAGGCGCCACTGAACAAGGCATAGTTTGAATAGTCAACAAGCCTGTTGTTTATTCGCTGTGCGTGAGTGATACATTGCATGCAGAAGTTAGAGGCGCTAATGAATAGATCTAAGTTTAAATACACTGTGGCAATGATATAGTACCTGTATGCGCGGCAATACGCTGGAGAGGTGCCAGGACAATGCTTGCACATCCAGTACAAAAGAAGGGCGGGCGCACTTGACTCTTGAAGCATGTGCAGTACTTCATGGATGATTTTCTAGCCCACCACATCCACAATGGTGGCCGTGATCGTTGTGAACAGCCCCCGGTGTTCTTCAACTGAACAAGTTATTTAAGAAAGGAGATCGTCATCAAACAGAACACTGATAATTTGTGAAGAAGGGGTTGGTGCGACTTCGGCGATACTTGATCGAATATAGATAACTTTATATCTACATAGCAGACTCAGCGGAGGACATTCAGGTTGGTTGTAACTCTGAGTTTCATGCCGCTAGGCAATCATCAGACAACTGATACTCGGATCTACCCAACAGTATGCTTATAAACACATTGGGCCACAACCATAAACGAATTTAGCGCTAAATCTGGTGTAAGGTATGGGGAGAAAGCTGGCACGGGCCAAGGCGCGACAGTAGAAGTCCCAGTAGGGTGGCGGGCAACAGGCAGGTGTGAGCATGAAAGCGCGGAAAGAGGCGATGGGGAGGCAGTGTACAGCGGGGATCAACGGATTTGATAATTTGATATTAGTGATTTTGCGAAGGATAGACAGAGAGGAAGGGAGGGAGGGTGGGAGAGAGACAGACAGACACACACACACACACACACACACACACACACACACACACACACACACACACACACACACACAGAGCCCTGTGTAAAAGGAACAACATTAATCGTGCATCGAGAGACTCTAGACATGTTACTTTGTTTTAAAGATGCGGGATTTCCCCTCCAGTACAGTATTCAAGTTATCTGTGCATACTGATGAGAGCACAAGAGAATGAAGCATTCCTCTGGTGGCATGTTTTCCTTGGTATGCCGCTCTGCTCAAGTGTATCAGTCTACTGATTTGTGTGCACAGCCACCTTACTGTCAGCTCCACCTGCCTTGTGGACACAACTGTGGAGGAATTGCTGGCGAGGACGAATGTCTGCCATGCCTGTGGTCATGTTCTGACACTGTTCGCAGGACACCGCAGTACAATGGAAGGGATTTGTGCGCCATATGCTGCACGGAAAGATTGTTTGAATCTCCAGCTATTCAGGTTGGTGTAAAACAAATCCGTATTGCTATGCTATCGCAAGTGACTGAACTCTATGATTGCTTACTTGTGTTGCACATGTGGCTGCGCGTGTAGCTCTTTGTCGTACATGCTGCTGCGCTTGTGTCTCTTTGTCGTACCTGCTGCTGCGTTTGTGTCTCTGTGTCGTACATGCTGCTGACCCGTGGTGCATGCTGCTGCGCTGCTTTATTGTATTGCTGACACGTGCACCTTTTAGTGCTGATGAGGGCACCAATTTCCTAAATATGTTTCCTTTGTTAGTTGTCAGTTCTCCTGTCGCCTCCTGAAGTGTGGTAATGAAAAGCTCTCTCTCTCTCTCGAAATAGAGAACAACTACTTTCCTAGACCTTTTGTTTGTGTGGCGGAACGAAAGCGGAGAGGTAGTTGGTCCTTCGGGCAGACGACATTTGGCGCCCAACGTGGGGCTCGAACCCACGACCCTGAGATTAAGAGTCTGATGCTTTACGGACTGACACAACAACAAAAACAAAACAAAAAGAACGTTGTCTGCCCGAAGGACCAACTACCTCTCCGCTTTCGTCCCGCCACACAAACAAAAGGGCTAGGAAAGTAGTTGTTCTCTATTTCGAGAGAGAGAGAGAGAGAGAGAGAGAGAGAGAGAGAGAGAGAGAGAGAGAGAGAGAGAGAGAGAGAGAGAGAGAGAGAGAGAGAGAGAGAGAGAGAGAGAGAGAGAGCTTTCCATCACCACGCTTCAGGAGCCGACGGGAGAACTGACAACTAACAAAGGAAACATACTTAGGAAATTGGTGCCCTCATTATACCCAGGCCGCCATGGCTGGTATTCACGAGGCTGACTGTACATGTACATTGCATAGTCGTATTGAGAATTGTATTGAGTTGTCGGCAGTTCCTTCGCCAGTTTGGCCATCTCCTTTCTGTGAGCGTTTGCCGTTGTTTCTCAAGGAACTAGCATGCGATGTGTTTGCCTTGTAGCTTTCATGTGGACACATATTCCACAAGCATTGCTGCGATACCTTGCTGCGCATGCGGTGGAGTGGGCCCAGGATCAACTTCAAATTCATGGAATGTGTCAGCTGCAAGGTATGTTGAGCGTGAGTGAGAGTGACTTGAGTTCCATGACTCACTGCACAGTCTGATGTTGGTAAGAAACACTGGTTTCAGATGATGTGCTAGGTCATCTTGGGGCTGTGCATGTGTGTGTGTGTGTGTGTGTGTGTGTGTGTGTGTGTGTGTGTGTGTGTGTGTGTGTGTGTGTGTGTGTGTGTGTGTGTGTGTGTGTGTGTGTGTGCGTGTGCGTGTGCGTGTGTGTGTGTGTGTGTGTACTTCGAAGTAGTCCTTTCATTCAGATCATTCATGATTCAGTTATCTGGCATCTGTGGGGCAGGATGTACTGTAGTGTATTGTATTTTATTATTTTACTTGGGCATTCCCAACAGACCCTAGGGTCTTCTTACACGGTGCCCAAGATGAATGCATGTGTTAAGTAAAGATGAATGCATGTGTTAAGTAAAGATGAATGCATGTGTAAGTTCCTGATATGCGGATGGTGTATAGCCAGGCTGGTTCACACTGTGATTAGGAAGTATGCAATTCTGCCAAGCACTTCCGTTCCGGCAAACACACCCCGGGGAAATACACCCGTGTGTTAGCCCTGGCTAATAGCCTATTACATGTACACCCTGGGCTATTACACCCCGACCTAATACAACCCGGGCTATTACACCCCGACCTAATACAACCCGGGCTAGTAGCTATTACACCCCGACCTAATACACCCCGGCAGGGGTGTACGCAGGATCCGGAATGAGGGGGTGCTCCAACATTTCCCCAAAGAACCGAATAATGCATTATTTCTGTGCGTTTGATACATGGATGGTTGATACATGGATGGTTGATACATGGATGGTTGATACATGGATGGTTGATACATGGATGGTTGATACATGGATGGTTGATACATGGATGGTTGATACATGGATGGTTGATACATGGATGGTTGATACATGGATGGTTGATACATGGATGGTTGATACATGGATGGTTGATACATGGATGGTTGATATCTTGATGTTTACTTTTAGTCCGCGCCATTTAACCGTGATTCAAGCATTTACCATGATTTACCAAGTCGAGGGAAAATGTAGGAACTTTTCTGTAGGATGGAGCAACCATGAGGTCTTGAAGTACCCAATCCCAAATATACCCCTCCCTTCAGTGGAGGACAAAATGTACTTCCTGGGCAAGCTACATGTAGGTCCAAGGGGTACACTACTCTTGCTAGATCATAATTGGTTAGAGAGCTTTTTCTTCTACTTCATTTCAGTAGGCGACTGGGGAACTCATAAAGAAGATCCAACACTGATAGCGAACGACTGACGACTGACACTGAGACAAGACGAGACAACAGAATATATTAGATTGAAGGCGTACAACGGGGACAAGACGAGCAAGTGTGTACCAACGGGGACAGAAGACGGTGCAGCCGCATGTACGCAGGAGTCAAAAACAGCGCAGCAGCATGTACCACGACTCAGCAGCATGTACAACAAAGAGACACAAAAGCAGCCACATGTACGACAAAGAGCTACACGTGCAACCGCATGTACAACGAAGAGACACAAGTGCAGCCACATGTACAACATAATTATCACGAAACCATTTTCAATTTGACGAATGTACTTTGAAGCACTAGAACAACTTACAACACTTCACACATTGAATGGGGCGAGAAGGCAAAAGTGCCATAACAACTTCTAGCAGGAGTCACAGAAAAAGCTCCCAGGAGTTTTTATACACTTGCTTCTGGTATGGAGAAATAGAATCAGGTAATAGAAGAAGCAAGTGCAATGGATGGTGGTAGCTTCACAAACAGGATACTAGCAGAGGGCTGCCACATTTCTGTTGGTAGAAATCAGAAGCAGTGTCTGAGGTGTTCAATGTCAGGATGGCAAGGGGGCAGCTACCCCTTTAGAAGCCATAGCATTTTTAGGATTTCAAGGGCCGAAACAACAGATTAGTACACTTTCGTGAACAATCGTTTTCAGTCGGTTTGTCGGAACAACTGATCGGAGTGTTCCCGGAAAATCGGAATACAATAAGTCGAGGCCCCTGACAATATGGACAACCCTCTCACGATCCTGCCACATGAAAGTACATGGAACATGGTGAGCTATGATCAACTAGTGACGACATGCAGCGAGTGGAAAGCAAAACATCCGTTAGAAAAATCTGATAATTGTACCACGAAAAATCGCGTTCAAAAGTCTGATTTATGAACATCCCCATTTCACAATGAAGTTTACTAAAATATCAAATTCGATCACATCTCAATGTATAGCGTCACTCGAGACCTTTCCAATGGGCCGTAATTTGCGTGAATCGGACAATCGGTTGCAAAGTTATGATACTTTTAGCGGCATGGGTACATCAGGTTGGCCTACATGTACATGTACATGTATGTCGAACATTTTGAGGGGGTGCTTCAGCACCCAAAGCCACCCCCCCCCCCCCCCCTGGGTACGCCACTGCCCGGGCTATTACCGTATTATCTCTAATATAAGCACGGTCCTTTATTTTTTCAATGTACCTCCGCCCCGTGCTATTATTGGAGACGTTCCTTTATTGGAGACTGTTCCATTATTATTTCAACCTCATTTCAGAGGCTTGTTGCCATGCCAAATTCATGTCAGACACACACATTTCAGGGTTTTTTTGCCGTTACAGATAATGAATTTACACAGTGTGCTTATAATGGAGACTGAGCACTTTATTTTTTGAATGCCCCCCCCCCCCCCCCCTAGGTGTTCTATTATTGGAGACGTGCTATTATTGGAGACTGTGCTTATATTAGAGATAATACGGTACACCCCGACCTAATACACCCCGGGCTTTTACACCCCGACCTAATATATACACCCCGGGCTTTTACACCCCGGGCTATTACACCCCGACCTAATACACCCCGGGGGAAATGCGCTCTGAGCCAATACACCCTGGGCTCTGCCCCTGTATAGCATGTCATTCTGTATCGGATTTGTGGAAGCAGATTCCAAGGCAGAGAGCAGAAGAAACTGCAGACTTTGTTTGACAAGTTTTCCCTTGTCAGTTGGTGGTGGATACGATAGTGTGCGCTCTTTTCCACACACACACACACGCACACACGCACATGCGCACACACACACGCACACACACACACACACACACACACACACACACACACACGCACACACACACACACACACACACACACACACATCGCTCCTTTGCTGTAGAATCGCTTCATGGAGCATCCATCACTAAATTCATGCACTGTTCCCCTCAAGAATCTGTTGGAGACGATGAAAGGGAAGGCACTGGAACGATTGCAAGTTGACAAGGAAATGAGAAATGCTGCCATCACCGATCCATGCAGCGAGTACTACCAGAAACCGGTGGAGTATGCCTTGAAGCGCTATGCTTACTATCTCTGCAACGTGTGTAAGAAGGTATGTACAGTGACGTGTATGATGCGTATGACAACAGACGATTGTTGTGTGATCATGGCATTGCGCTGTGCGTATGACAGACGATTGTTGTGTGATCATGGCATTGCGCTGTGCGTATGACAGACGATTGTTGTGTGATCATGGCATTGCGCTGTGCGTATGACAACAGACGATTGTTGTGTGATCATGGCATTGCGCTGTGCGTATGACAACAGACGATTGTTGTGTGATCATGGCATTGCGCTGTGCGTATGACAGACGATTGTTGTGTGGTCATGGCATTGCGCTGTGCGTATGACAACAGACGATTGTTGTGTGATCATGGCATTGCGCTGTGCGTATGACAACAGACGATTGTTGTGTGATCATGGCATTGCGCTGTGCGTATGACAGACGATTGTTGTGTGATCATGGCATTGCGCTGTGCGTATGACAACAGACGATTGTTGTGTGATCATGGCATTGCGCTGTGCGTAGTGTCATACATGTAGATCCTCTCTCAATCACTGGTGTGGCTGCAGGTCACGGTGTGTTTATCGGCTGCCCACCAGGTAGCCAGGTCCGTCCATCTACCTCTCTATCACGCCACCGAGGCCTGTATGCAGGTGCTCCGCTAGTATCCTTCTGTTGCTTGGTGTAGATCCAGCAGTTTGAGTGGATGCGTTCAATACTTCTTGCTCTACGGAAATCCGTGCCTGTACCAAGCCCTACAGCCACTGCTAAGTAGGGAGGAGTTGGTAGAAGCTGGTAGAATCATGTGACGCAGTTCTAATTTTGTCACCCAGCTATTCAGTGCTAATTCTACTCACGAGTCGTAAACACAAGGTCACTTGCACAGTTTCCAACTGCCTGTGGTTGTGGGGAGCAGCAAGCAAGCAGCAACACTGATAGCGGAGAAAGCAGCAGGGTTCTAGCCAAAGGGGGTGGGGGAGGGGGGGGGGGGGGGGGGCAGCGCCCCCTACTCTGTTTGCGCACCCCCTGTAAAAAAGTGCCGCCCCCCCTGCTCATTTTCCGATTTTTTTCATGCCATTCAACGAAAATGCAATCGATAGTCGGGACTAGAGGGTTCATAAAGGCACATTAGTCTGGGGTGAAGTCAGGTGTTTGCCCCGTACGTTGCATTTCGCATTGCAAGACAGTTATTTTGAAAATGGAAAAATGGGTTTTGGGGCAACTGTCCCCCCCCCCCCCCCCCCCCCCCCCTACTAGTTTGACCTGGCTAGAACCCTGAAGCAGTGCAGCCATGATTGTAGAGTACTTAATGCCAACTTTGAACAATGGACTAAACCCGGCACTCAGACTTGAATGTAACTTGGAAGCCTGGGGATTAGCACCATACCTGACGGCTCGCCTTTTATGATATCCTAAACGTCTCTCCGCTTGTCCTTCAAGGATGGTTAAACTTTCATACTCCAAGTAGCTGCACCATCAGTGCCAGTGCCACACGAGCAGTAAGCCGCCCAGGGCTACATGTGAAGAGCTGGAATGCTAAACCCGAAAAATCCATTTCATTTCTTTTCGGGCACTAGTACAGGTGACATCTTGAAAATTCAAATAATTATGTCTTAATTCAAACATACCCCGTAATTAGAACGGTTCCCTCCACCGGGACCGATTTCTATCACTACGATTCCCACATAAACAGTGTCTAATAATTCGAACCTCGAACTGGACATGTCCGGTTAATTAGTTTGAAGTCCCACAGAATCCACGTACATAGAAAATTTTGTGGGATTTGTGCTGTTAGCTCGAAGTTAGCAAAGCATAATTTGAAGTTAGCAAAGCATAATTTGAAGTTAGCAAAGCATAATTCAAAGTTAGCAAAGCATAATTCAAAGTTAGCAAAGCATAATTCAAAGTTAGCAAAGCATAATTCAAAGTTCACAGTACACTATACAAGTCAGTTCAGTGTACACGAGCAAACTGTACTGTCCAGTTCAGTGTACACGAGCAAACTGTACTGTCCAGTTCAGTGTACACGAGCAAACTGTACTGTCCAGTTC